ATAAATCTGTAATTCAAATCTATATTTACTTTCTTTTTTGGATTGTCATCGAAAAATATTCTCATTTTTTTTTAAAGTAAAAAATCATTCCATTTTTGTACTTTTTTTACTATAAAAAGAAAAATTAATAATTATTACTCACTTTTATTAAAACTCGTACTCGGTCAAATGAGCACATATTTGCATGACGGATGGAGTATTATTTATATATATTATTTATTAAAATAAGGTAATTATATGATTAGGGCATAATCACCTTACTAAACATGTCACTAATTGCCTAACAACCTAATGGAATGAAAAAGTAAATACTGAACCTAATTTACCTAAATCTTCTAAGGCAAATTGCAGAGATTATTTGTTTGAAGGATTTTGGTGGATTTCCACTATTCATCCAATTTTTTTCCCCCTAAAAAATCAAATCAAATACCTATTTTTCATTTTTTATATTATACTAAAAATCAATTTTACATTCAAAACATCACATCAAACCCTATTTATATCACATCATACAACTATTCAAATTCAAAATTTTTACTATTCAAATTACAACTCAAAATCTAAACCCCCAAACAAACACACCCTACAAGTAACAAAAGTTGGAAGAGTTTGGCAAAAACAAAAATTAGGGTGTGTTTGTTTTGGGGTTTGGATTTTGAGTTGATATTTGAATAGTAAAAATTTTGAATTTGAATAGTTGTATGATGTGATATAAATAAGTGTTGATGTGATATTTTGAATGTAAAATTGATTTTTAGTATAATATAAAAAATAAAAAATAGGTGTTTGATTTAATATTTTCAGGAAAAAAAATTGGATGAATATTGTAAATCCAATCCAATCCCGAAGCAAACACACCCTAAATAAGGTCGTAGATCAAATGGTAAGACTATCTCACTTGAGAGGCCTATAGCTCTATAATTTTAGCCTCTGTTCATTATCATAAGTAGATTAAATCAAAGATGGAGGACCTTGTTAAAATATTTTACGAAAAATTGGAAAATTGTATTATATTGATCATCAAAATAAATAGTTTATATCCGATAGTTTCAAATCTTAATAAAAATCAAATCTAAATATAAATCTATTAAATATAAAACTAAATAACTAAAATATATGTCCTTAGGGTGTGTTTGTTTGGGGGATTTTCTGCCAAATACACTATTCATCCAAGTTTTTTTCTTCTAAAAATATCAAATTAAACACCTATTTTTATTTTTTATAATATTATAAAAAAAATAAATTTTACATTCAAAACATCACATCACCACCTATTTATTTCACATTATACAATTATTCAAATTCAAAATTTTTACTATGTAAATTTTAACTCAAAATCCAAACTCTCAAACAAACACACGATAAATAGGTTTTGGGCTCCTTAAGTTATATAAATGGATTAATTGGAGTAGTGTTTTGGCATTATGGGCTTGAGCTTGAACTTTAGTTGGCTTATATTAATCAGATATGGGCTCTGGGCTTTGATCTCATGGGCCGGAAGTCCAAAATAAAGTCGGATGGGTTGCTTTAAATTTGAATATATACTTTTGGCTTTTTTGATAAAATAATAATAATTATTATTATTATAATAATAATAATCCCTCGTAAGTATTCATTTATTTTTTGTACGTAGTTTAAGGTATATTAATATTATATTGATATATAGTATGAATAAAATAAAAATAACTAAAATAACTTTATTAATATTGTGTGATATAAAGATAATGATATTTGTGTAATATATTGTAAATTGTAAGGATATTTGTAATGTTAGGTAGATAGTACAATTACTATAAAAAAATTGATACTTTATTATGAAAAAACTAAAATAAAAAAATAAATAGTTTGTTACGAGAGGATGAAAATGGACTAACAATAATCCTTCCTAGAGAACACAAATCATATTTCTTAACAAAAAGATATTAAAAGATAATTGCCAACAATTTATGCACACAGGAATATCTTTTCATTTCTTCTTTTTACTATTTATGAACACATGAATATCTTTTTCTCCATTATATTTATTTTTATTTAATATATGATATATATATATATTAAATTTTATATTCAAAATATATCTGAAATACTTATTTATGTCACATAAAAAATCATTATAATTTAACAATTATTTTAAAACACACCACAATACAACCAAACAAATCCTATGTACTCATTGAGAGGTAAATTGCACATATGTCTTTCTTATTACATACACACAAACTCACAAATTAAGGAACTATTAATACATTTATTCTTCACACATTAACTTTTTCCGAAGAATGCAAAGTTCAAACAGAGCTAATTCACATTTTCTGCAGTATCAAGTAACTTAAGCCGGCGCGATGAAAAACCCTTCGGCGTTGGCATTTATAACCTTACCAAATCCACTAATTCTTCTGTTAACAACGGCAATAGGAGATGTCAGAACACCGGTGGCAAGGGCAGGGCAACTTGCCACCGGGAGTGGAATGCGAACGAAGCACGTGGAAATTACGATTAAGGGTTTAGGGTTAGATACACCGCCAACATCAATGGTGAAAATTCCGGTGGTAGTAACAATGGTGTCCGAACCAACCGTTTGAGTAATTCCAAAAATGTTGTCGCATTCGAGGGTGGCGACCCCCCCGGTTAGGGGGGTCCCGGGGCAATTTCCGGTGGCCGAGCAACAAGTTTGGCCAGTTACAATCAAGTTGTTGAATAGAAGGGGTTGGTTGTTGAATCTTGTTAGGGCATTTGTTTTAAAGTTTGTTCTTGTGAAGAGAAGAAAAGATGTGAAGAAGAAGAAGATGGGAATGTTGGAAGTCATTAGGGTTGTGTGTTGTGAAGAGTGGAGAAGAAAATAATCCTATTTATAGATGGATGTTCTTTAATTTAGGGTTGATGAATTATTTTGGGTTTATGTATTTGATGTTGTCGATGTCAAATAATTGTTGGATATCATATTTTATATGAAATATATGTATCTGTCTTTTTTTAACACGTTATGTATATGGTCTCGTGTATTACTTGTGTTGGGGTGTTTATTTTTTATATTTTTACACTTTCTTCGCTCACACTGAAAGATATATATTTTTTTCTATTTTTGTTTTAAGATTCATTTAAAAAGTAATAATATTTTATTGGTTAGTAGGTGTATAAGATGATTTTTTGATATATTTTATTTTATTTTTATATATAAATTAATTGTATATATAATAATATGTTTGTAATTTATGTAAAAATTAAATGATGTTTTGGCGATTACTTTTTAAAAGGTACTTGTGGGTGGGAAGCAAAAATAGTGAAAAATATAATGAATTTTAATTGAGACAAATAAAATATATTTTATTGAAATATATATTTTACAAAACTTAGATACTGTTGGGATATGAAGCCTGATTATATCCTAAAATCTAGGAATATGATTCGGATATTATATTTTAGATTTTAGAGATATGATTTGGATATTATTATCAAAAACTTAGGCTATAAATATCCATGTATTCTCACTTTAACATGTGTCTGCGTACTTTATAGTAAAATTCCTGGCTTGGCAGCACCCCAGACGTAGATCATTGTCATCGAACTGGGTTACCAAATTCTTGTGTTCTTTTGTCTTTATTATCTCATTTTGATTTCCTGAAAATTTTCGTAACAGATACATATATTGTTTTATTGAAATATATATTTTACAAAACTTAGATACATATATTGAATTATCTTAATGATACATATATTACATCATAAATTAAATATCTAAGTAAATGAAATAGTATACTATAGAAAAGCATATATTGTATGGTAAAAAACTAAAATAAAATGTAGTACTATATATAACCAAGAAAACAGAGTTTAGAATTATTATTATTATTATTGTATTTGAATTTTGATTTATATTTTTAGTAATAGTTTTTTTATTAAAAAGATAAGGATATGTTTTTTTATAATGGCCTAAAACGTAAAATGAATATAGATTTGATAATATAAAGAGTATAATATTTTAATATGTTATTTTATAAGAAGAAATAATACTCCCTCCGTTCCGCTTCTCATGTCCATTTTTTTATTTTTGTCCGTCATATTTATTTTGTCACTTTCCTTTTTTGGAAAAGAATTATACACTTTAATTTTATTTTAAAAAATTTAATTTAAAATTTTTTAATTTTAATTTTATCTTAATCTTAATCTTTAATTATTTTTATTATACGATAATTATTTTCACTAATATATTTTTAATTATTTACTGATTATACCCCTCTTAAATTCTTGTGTGTACAGTAAAATAGACAAAATATCCGGACAAATGGAGTATATTTTTATTAAAAAATATTATAATTAATAGGAAAAAATTGTAAAAAAAATGAAAGGGATAGTGTCCAATTTTGTTCAAAGACTTTAACAACACTTTAATTAGGAGAGTTGTACTTAATCCTTTAACTATGATCATGAAAGTTGACTATAGAGCTGCCAAATTTGAGGACTTTGTGGCTTAACCATTTAAGGAAAGAATGAATCTTTCACTTAATTAACTACTCCTTCTATCCCATATAATTTGTTCTTATTTTCTATTTTTGTCCGTTTTACATAATTTGTTCATTCTTTTTCTGGAAATATAATTATACACTTTAATCTCATTTTAAATTTTAAATTTTTTAATTTTAATTAAACTATTTAATTATCTTAATCTTAATCCACAATTATTTTTATTATATGATAATTACTTTTACTAATACACTTCTTAATTACTTATTAATCACACGTTACTTAAATTCTCGTATCTACGGTAATAGACTTATAATACATGAAACGGATAGAGTAATTAATAAATGTAATAAAGTTGACTTTGCATAACAACTTCTAATCATTTGTTTAAAACAGCTCAAACTATTCTTATAAATGAATTTTATTAACTAATAAATGAATTTACAAAATTATTCTTTTTAATTTTTCTATTGTACTATTACCTATAAAATGCTATATTAAAGCAAATATTACAAAAAAAAAAAAAAGAAAGGATGAAGTGCATGCATTAAATTTAAACATATGATAATTAAAAAAAAAACAAGGTACAATTAATCATAATCAAAATCAAAATCCCACAACAACAAATTGTGTCCTAATTCCCTAAGAACATCGTATCGTATCATATCACATCATACATTATCTATCGACGATTCTTGCGATGTTCATAGGCTACTCCAAATCGACTCTCATTTTTCAAGCATGGCCGTTGCCATTTTGTTCTTCGGACGACTTAAGGTACCATCGTTGGAGTCGTTCCGAGGCTAATCTTACCTGTTTGTCCCAATCCGTCTTCCACGCCATGTAGCTAAGCGCAAGCGACTGGGTAAAGATTCCGAGGATCATCCCAATCCATATGCCCTGCGACGCATTTTAGGACGAACTTGTCAGGACAACCTAAACCGGGAATTTTAGAACAAGACTAGATGCACGCACTCGCGGAAGATTTGAATGTAAGAACTAATTTCTAAGTAACTTTTTTTTAGAATTACGTCGAGGGTGTGTTCACTTATCAAACTTTACTCAATTTTTACTATTCATAAAAAATTTTCCTTCTAAAAATATCAAATCAAACCTCTATTTTTCATTTTCTATATTACACTAATTTTACATTCATAACATCACATCAGCACCTATTTATACCACATTATACATCTATTCAAATTCAAAAATTTTACTATTCAAATCCCAAACTAAAATCCAAACCTCCTAAACTTTTCTTCGGATTTGTAAAATAATTTATAAGATATTTCTTTGGCGTACCTTGACTTCAAGATTAGCGACATATCCAAGCAAAGCCCCGATCGGTACTCCAATCAAGTAGAAGCAACAAAGGTTGATAATGGCTACCGTTCCTTGCAATCCCGCTCCTACCGCGACACCTAATTTCATCACAATGATTGGAAAATTATTACAAGTGCAAGTCCATAGCAATCTTAGAAGAAATCCGAGTCCAAGGATGTAAGAAACAACGCCTGGCATATGAGGGTTTTAAGGTTAAAGATTTTTATTGTACTAACTAACCGGAAAGAACGGGATATATGCTGTTGAGCAACACCGAGATAGAGAGGAGGTGTGAGAGATCGGAGACGGCATTTGCCACTTCCACGTCGTTTGTGAAGAAATATCCGATATTTCGGCCGAAAGCCAAGCAAAGGCTCGTAAAGAACACCCCGATCACAACCGATGTAGTTATAAGGACTTTGATAGAAAACTTTGTCGCCTTGGAATCTCCTCGTCCGAGTTCATTCGCAATCCGTACGCTGCCCCAAATAAACCAATATGAATCAAAGATCAAAAATATACATAGGCTCTATTTACTTTGCGATTTAGCAAAAAAGAAAATTATAACGCAATCTTCACAATTCCTTAAAAAATACTTCATATGTCCCGCGTAAAAATATACATTTTGTCATTTTTGTTGTCCCATAACAACATATACATTTTTCTTTTTAGTAATTATGGACCCCACTATTCGATAGAAATATATATCTATTTTTATATTAAAAGGGGCAAAAATATATTTACACTAATTTCAATTACTTACTACAATAAAAATGCTTTTACTTTTAAAATTTCATGCAAAAAGTAAATGCCGTATACCTTTACCCGGGCCGGGGGAGGATGCATACTATTCATTCTCAAAACATCACATTCAAATTTATTTTTTTCTAGGAAAAAAAAAATCCACTAAATAAACACACCAATAATGATTAGGTACTTTTATTACATACCATGCGGCGCCAAGAAATCCAAGGCAGATCATGAATTCCCATCCGTTGATGTTAAGGCTGAAAACATCGGATCATTAGAATCAAAATCACCGTATGACAATGAAATATCGAATCGCCTGCTAAAAACCACTTACCAAATAGAGAAGGCAGATATGGCGACTTCAGCATTACTCATGTAGCCAGCCAACAAGACGAGTATGGAATTGTACCACAATTCCAAGCTGCAAGTCGAGACAGCCCATAATACTTAGCATCCAATTGTACTTATCAAAGCAAGAAAAAAAAAAAAAAAAAAAGGACAAACTTTCAATTGTAACAATTAGTGCATTCTAAAATTCACAATTAAGGCATCTATGAGTTGACACGTCTTCGAGATACCGTCAAAGAAAATTATCAATGTGTGAAAATGTTCTAATAGACCATTGTACCAAAAAAAAAACCATCAAAACTACAATTTCGAGTTCGTGGGACAGCAGCACTTTATTTTCCAAAATTTTAACTCATCACAATTTGATCGTGTACGTTTACAAAAGTCGCAACTTTCGCATAAAATCGCTATTAATTCCTAAAGCATATCGCATAAGCGGACAATCTTTGTCGATCTAAGGCAAAAATTGCGTTGTTTGTAAGAACACAAGAATCAATCGTGATCAATTAAGACTTTTTCCAATAAAAATTGTACTTTACCGTATAAAAAGTGAGATTGCAAAAGGGATCAAGAGATTACCAAACCATTATGCCGGAAGATATCGAAAGCTTTATTACGGGGAACAAATCCTTAAAAGCCGCCGAACTTAATCCCGTCCAAGTATCCGGACACCAACCGCCCATAATATACCCGAACTCGGCAAACGCAACAAACCATGAAGATATGCATAGTGCCGCCATTGCGCCATCAACCCCCCACTCAAGATAAATTACGAATAACCACGAGAGGGGGACGTGCATCGCAAATTGCGCAATGGATATCCACGCGACAATGCTATTCCTTTGTTGTGATTGGAGAAACATTTGCATCGTCAAGGTGAAGACGAAGTTGTACACCATCGGAATAAACCACCAAGAAATGTATCCGGCCGATCCCACAATGCTCGGATCCTCGCCGAGTAGTTTAAAAAGTGGACCCCCGAATAGAAAAAGTGGAAGCAAGAGGGTTAATGCTAGGATATCAACAATCCATGATCTTTGTAGATATAAGCCCATCATATGGTATTGTTTTGCACCGTACGCTTGTCCGCATAGAGTCTCGGTTGCGCTCGACATTCCTATCTGTAAAAAATTTATAGAAAATAATATTTACAAACAAAAATTCATTCTTCGGATTAAAAAACTAAATAAATCTAGCGCTATATTTAACCGTAAGTTGCAAAAAGATCATTGTCTATAAATTCTTTTGTTTATGTTTATTGTATAATAATCGTTTGATCAATTATATCGTAAAAAAAATGTAAGAAATTTGTACTTATCGACGACTAATTTCTACAACAAAAATATTAACATATTTCTGACGTAGACATAATTTAATAAATTTAGTCCTTAATTCCGTCTCTAATGATAACATAAAAAAGTGAATTTAGGAATGAAAAAAATTTGGTTACAAAAATGTTATTTTCTTGTACATGAGATGGTAACATAATATATAAGAGAAAAAAAAAATGTCGACTACTTGAACTCCAACGTTACCTAACTTTGAATTTTAAAAACCCAAAATTGGTATGTTCCGACATTATAAACATATAAAAACAACTCACCAAAATCCCATTCACAAAACGAACGGTAAGTGTTTGGACAAGCGCATAACCGGCGAGATCAACGGAGCTTATGTGGCCGATAAAGGATTGTGTCACGATTATGGTCCCAAATGCCGCCACTCTCGCGATAATGCCCGGCAACGCTACTTTCCATATTTTCTTGGACTCGTTGTAGACCCTTACTTTCAAATCTCCTTCCTCGCTCCCTTCTCGATCGAGCAACTTCTCGCGCATGCCGTTATCCATGCCTCTCTACATAGAAACACACAACACCAAAATGAAATAAATAAACTGTGTTTGTTTGGAAATTTTGTTTTGTTTTGCACTATTCACAAAAGAAATTCCCTCCAAAATATCAAATCAGATACTTATTTTTTATTTTTTACATTCAAAATATCACATCAATTTTTATTTATATCATCACATCGAACAACTATTTAAATTCAAATTTTTACGATTCAAATCAGAACCCCCAAACAAACACACTCTATCGTAGTCATTTTCGCACTATTCATTCTAAGGCAAAATTATTTTTCCCCTAAAAGAAACTCATCTCCTACACATATACTTCCATCTAAATCTTCTTATACAAAACTTGTGTTCCATTTACATATACATACTTTTTGAAAAATTTGACACTATTCATCAACATTAATTTATTTAAAAAACATCACATCGAATACTTCTTCATTTAAATACTTCTTCCGTCTCACATACCATGTCCACCTTGCCGTTTATATTAGTCCCACATCTTATGTCACTTTCTTTTCTCGAAAAATAATTCCACACCTTAATCTCACTTTAAATTTTCTAATTTAAATTTTTTTTAATTTTAATTAAACTAATTAGTTATTTTCATCTTAGTCTATAATTATTTATATTATAGGATTTCTTAATTATCTATTAATTATACTTATTCTAAATTCACATGTCTACGATAAACCGAACATGCAATGTGGGACGGAGGGAGTATTGCGTTAGAACATATTTTCTAATGCAAAACATCACATCCAATAGATACTTGAGATGCATCAAAAAAATATTATTACTTCCAAAAGTCTTACATCATTGTAATTAAATTTGATTACTTAGACAAGAATTTATTAGGACAATAATTCATTAACAATCTTTTTAAGCAAGATCGATAAAAGTCAAACGTGGTGTCCTACCTACTCCTAATTATTGATAAATAAATAAATAAACCATTGACTTTATTTTACCTAGAGAATAGCAATAATAATACATTTTCGAAATTATCTTAAGGATGGGATTAGAAAGATTATAAGCAATGCTGGTCGAAATCCAGACATTCTTTAAGGATTCAGGGTATGTTTGTATTTTAATTATGTATTTAGTTTGATGTTTTTTAAAGTAGAAGAAAAAAAAAAAAAAATTTATGGACATGGGTGTTTGGATAGATTTAGTTTTTGAATTTAATAGACATTTAATGTAATACAATTATGTACCTAATATTTTGAAAGAGAGAATATATTTTTAATGTCATGAAAAAATAAATTATTATCATCTGATTTAATATTAAAAAAAAAAAAAAAACCAAATATATTATTAGTCACGATTTTTTTATAAAAAATGATAATAACTACTATTCCTTTTTATTTTTTCACTTAAGAAAAAGTATTCTTTCTTTTCAAAATATAAAAATATAAAAGAAACACTTTTGACAAAATCCCACATCCAAACAAACAAACCTCAAAGGTTACACGTCACGTGGAGATCACGCGCAGGATGACAAGCTTGATTATAAATTGAATGTACGACGTCGTTTTGTTCAAAAAAAGACCATAAGTTCATTAGTGGATCACAATTTCCGGACAGAAAATTCAGAAATAGATTTTTCATACATAAAGTGAAAACAATTTTTTTTTTAATTATTATTATTATTATATAAAAAAAAAGTGAAAATTTTAAGGTTAGATCAGTGAGGAACAAAAAGGTGAAGAAGCCTTCACCAAAACCTTGCCTATTTTTATTTTCTTTTTTCTATTAAATAAATAAATATATATATATATTGAAATGGCCATAAGAACAGAGAAGGAACAAATAATCCCAAAAAAAAATTAAAAAAAAAAAAATTCATTCAAGATCAGATCTGCCAAAGTTAATCGAAAAAAGAAAAAAAAAAAGTCGAGAATGAAGTCAACTTACGAAAACTCGAAGAACAGAAGCAGCTTCGTGAAGGTTAAGAAAGACTTACACAACGAAATCAAACGACGCCGTTTTGGCCTGGACTTTGGATTTTCTTCTTCTTCTTCAGCTCTCACCTCTTTATTATTACCCTAATTTTTGCAGACAGGCATTTAGAGAGAGAAAGAAGTAGAGAGAGAGAGGGGGGGGGAGGGAAGCTCGAAGTCTGAGCTCTGAAAAAATGAAATCCCAAGTTTGTGTAATGAATATTTATTTTTATTGTAAGATTCAATGTTTGTTTGTTAGAGAGAGATATTTTTTGTACAATTAAATAAATAAGCTATAAACAATTGGTAGTGGGAGAAAGTGAAGGTGCGAGGGTTTCTTGGGAGGTCCCGGGACCTCTCGGCTAGAATGGAGTTGTACTTAAGGCGGTTTACGTGAGTCCAGCTCCTTTTGTTCAGAGTATTTTTCTTTTTAATTTTAAATAATAAAAAATTAAATTAAATTAATTAATTCATCCGTCCATATTTATATATCTATTTGTTTTTATAAAAAAAATTAAAATATTAATATTATATTAAAATAAAATAAAAATAAAAATAAAAGAATTAAATTAACCATATTAATATATAACATTTGTGTAATATATTATAAATTGAAAGAGTATTTATAATGTTAGGTAGATAGTACAATTACTAAAAAAAAATAAATAAATACTTTGTTATAGACGAATCAAAATGAAAAAATAGATAAATTGTTAATGGACAGAGGGAGTATTATTTAATTTAATATTGTGGAAATATTTTAGATATTTGATTTTAGATTTAATATATTTTTAATTTAAATTTGACCTTCTTCATATATTAAATTACTTAGATTTGAATATATAAAATATGTTCTATATTGCTTATATATATATAGGCCCCTTAAATATATTATTTTAAATACTTTTTTCGTCTTTTAACAAACTATCTATTTTTTTATCATTACGATATTAATATATTACACAAATGTCGTTACATTTATACCACACAAGACTAATATGCTCATTCTAGTCCTTTCTAATTTTTTTCTACTACATCCAAATATAATACTAATATTTCTAAAACTTCGTGTAAAAGGCAAACAGATACATAAATACGAAAGAGATGAGTAAATGTAATAGGAGTATTTTTTTGTTTTATAAAATCGTTATCATTTTTTATTTATATTTATTTTAAAATAATTTTGTTATTTTCCTATTTGCTAATTATATTATCTCACTAATATTATTCTAAATATTATTATAATTTATAATATATTATATAAATATTATTATTTATTCGTTATTTTTATTTGATTTTTTGTTATTCTTTTTCCTTTACTATTGCAATAAGAATTTGCTTATTTCGGAAAAAATTATACTCATTTATAAAAGTATTTATATTTTTTTTATAATATTTGAATATACTCTTTTGAAATATACTCACAAAAAGTACATGAGTAGAATGCTCTGTTAATTATGGATGAAATGGGAATTTCGTGCAAATATTTTTATATCATAAATAAAAAATAAATATGATTGTGTTTTTTTTAGATTTTTTATAAAATTTTTACTATTTTTTTATAAAAAATATTAAATCAAACAAATTTTTTATATACTATTATACTAAAAATTAATTTTTTTTCAAAATATCATTATAATATATATTTATATCACATTAAACAATTATTCAATTTCAGAATTTGTTTGTTTAGAATTTTAATTTGAAGTATTTTTGTTTTTATACGAAATATAGAAAATTACATAAATAATATAAAATAGTAGTATTTATACTCCCTCCGTCCCGAAATTAAGTATCAATTTACTTTTTGCACGTAGTTTTAAAAATATTAGTATTATATTGGGATATAGTAGGAATAAAGTAGAAATGACTAAATAACTTTATTAGTACGTGTGATATAAAAGTAATGACATTTGTGTAATTTATTGTAAGTTGTAAGGGTATTTGTAATGTTAGGTAGATAGTACAGTTACTGAAAAAAAAAAAAAAGAAATAGATACTTTGTTATGGGATAGACTAAAATGGAAAAATGGATATTTTGTTATGGGACGGGGGGAGTATTAAATATTAATTTTTTATGAGATAAAATACAAGAGTATATTATATATATCCTTACATCTGTCTGGTTCTAAGGATCTCATTTATTTTTGCGTATTGATATTTAAATATTATTTATTATATCAAAACGTAATACAAATTAAGAAAAAAATTGTAAAAATACTTCAATTAATGTATTATAAAATATAAGAATATTTGTATTAAAAAAATTATACAAATACAATAATATTTTTAATATTAAATACGGTAATGCAAAAATAAATGTAATCTTAAAGACGAACGAACGAAGTATATATTAAAATTGTGTCTAAGAAAAAATAATTGAAAAAACAAACTTGAAATTTTTTATTATTCAAAAATAAAATAAAAAATAAAAAATAAAAAGAAAAAAGAAATTGAATTCCACAAACAAACACACCCTACAAATATTTGTATTGGAGTTCATCCTTAAAAAATAAATAAATAAATAAATAAATGAAAAATGAAACAAACAAATCCACTAGCTCAACAACAGTCATATGTAGATGCGGTGGATCTGTCCGGAGTTGAGGACCAGGAGCTTCTGGAATATCTTTCGTCACCACCTAACCGTTCTGGAAGCCCAAAACGTGCTGCCCAGCACCTAAATCTTACTATCAATACTAAATTAATATACTATTATTATTATATATATATATATATATTTATTATTATTATTATTCTTATTTATTATTTTCAATTAATTAATAAGTCTACAGTAAGTCTTATACATATTTATATTTTAAAAATGAGTTTCGTTGTAACATCGCACGTCGACCGTTGGATTGTTATAGTTTTTTTATTTTTTATTTTTTTAATTATAGACTTTCTGTATTATTGTGTAATTTTGGAGTTTACTTTATACATATTTCCTCTGTTCGCAAAAATAAATATTTGAGTCCAACATAGAAATTTAAAAAAATAAATATTTTATTAAAAAAATGATAAAAGTAAAAGGGAAAAAATTATTTTTGATCCTAATATAACTAAAATTCATTAATTTTGGTCTCAATATAAAAATTTTATTAATTTTGATTCCAATATAATCGAAACTCATCATATTTTTTCTCAATATAACCAAAACTATCGTTATTGGTCTCAATATAATCAAAACTCATCATTTTTTGTACCAATATAATCAAACCTTTTTTTTTGTCCCACCGTCAATAAACTGACGGAAAATGCTGACGTTGACTTGCAAGATTGTACAATTTCTTCGAATATAAATATAAGGTTTGATTTCTTTTCACGTCAACATTTTACGTCGGTTTGTTGATGGTGAGACAAAAAAAGATAAGATTTGATTATATTGGGACAAAAAATGATGAATTTTGGTTATATTTGGACTAAAATTGATAAAAATAAAAAAAAAATTATATTGGGACTAAAAATAATTTTTTCCCAAAGTAAAAATATAGTTGAGTATATTTTTGAAAAGTAAGTTAAAAATAAAAATAAAAAAAAAATTAAGAAGAAAGAATGTAATAAATGTAGTGTTATTTGTTGTAAATAAATGTTGAATAGAGAATAATAGTTACATATTGATTTGTTGACTTTGTCAAAATTAGTAATGAGGTAAATTTAGTGGACAAACTAAGGGTATGTTTCTCTGGGGTTTGAATTTTGAGTTGAGATTTGAATAATAAAAATTATGAATTTGAATAGTTGTACTAAGTGTTGATGTGATGTTTTGAATGTAAAATTGATTTTTAGTATAATATAAAAAATAAATAATAGGTGTTTGATTAGATATTTTTTAGAAAAAAAATAAGATGAATAGTGCATTTAAAATTCAAATCCAATTCCCCAAACACATACACACCCTAAAAAGAAAAAAATAAATAAATTTAACTGACGAAAATAATAATATTTTATTAAAAAATTAATATGTATATATATATATTTGTAAATAATGGTAATTGTAGTGTAGGAAGAAAATTTGATGTCAACTTTCCAAAAACATAAAATCGTAGTAATTTTTTCTCGGAGTTATTAGATTTATTGCATGATTTTTGTTAGCGTCGCTAAATTGAGAAATCGGCTATTCCATCTCATTAAGTAAAATATTGGCACCGTTAATTAATTTTTCCTTAATTTCATTTTAATTGATATTTTATTATTTTAGGTAAAATTTATTAAATCAAAATATACTAAATTATGTAAAACCCATTTATTTTTATATATTTTTTAAAAAATAAATAAATATTTTTACCTATATTTAGAATTTCACATCTATTATAAAATTAATTTATATTAGTTACAAATAAATACATTCGTATCTTTTTATTTACTTATATTATAAAAAAAAAAAACTATTCTTTACAAAATGATCATATTCATATTTAAATATAAATTTTAAAATATTTTATATATTATAATTAATTAAATAAAAAATAATACAATAATATTATAATTTACTATTATTAACTAATTAAATATTATTAATTCTAAATACTATATCACCAGTAAAAAAAAATCAATTATTTTAGGACCAAAAAATAGTATTCCTTTTAATAAAAGAAAATTATTTAATTTTTATCATAAAATATTATATTTTTTATATTCATCGTAAAATATTAATTTTTATTTACAAATATATCATCAACATCTACATGTAGTCTATCTAAAATTTTCGCTCGTCTCGAACTCCCGATGTCTCAGGTCATCTGCCACACATGGTTCGGCCAGGGTGCGTGAATCATATTTTAAATAAATTTTACTATTGCCTATAATATTTTAAATAAATGTATATACATTTAATTACCTGAAAAATCATTTCTTTGTCTTGTGTTTTAGGTTATGTTTATTTTGCAATTTTATTTTATTCTTTTAAAAAAAAAATCTACAAAATTTTATAAATCTCAATAAAAATATATTTATCTTTTTATATAAAGGATCAATTCGAACTATTAATTCATTTAAAAATAACAAAATCAAAACCTACAAAATAAATTTTAACAACATTTTATTATTTGTGATTTTATTTTAAAAAAACAAAATCAAATCAAATATTTTTTATATTATATTAAAAAATAATTTTATATTTAAAATATTATATTAACATCTATTTATATAAAATTAAATAACTCTTCAAATTTAAAATTTTAATATTCAAAACTCTAACAAATAAA